AGTAAGCTAATGAAGGATATGTTGCATGAAAGAACATCTATGTTCTTGACTCCTTTGAATAATAACAGTTTTAGTGAAAATATCGGGCTAATAAAAATCTTTCAAACATCATTGTTAAAGAACTCATGGCAAAAACAGCTTTAAAAAATTAAAAATGGGGAAAACTCTATCAGTTTGGTGATGAGTATAAAAAGCAGCTAAAACAATGCTCCTGATATTAAGGTTCCATCTTGCAGTCTGGGAATAGTAGGAGTGTAAAGAATCTTCCAGACTGCTGAGGAGTTTGAGACAATTGTAACTAAGTTTCAGCAATGTCTTCAGACCTGCTGAAAGCTGCAGATCTGGAACCCCACTCCAATTTAGACAACAGTCTTCTCCTGTTTGGAAATTGATTGTTATGAAATGACTAGCTAAGCAATTCAGAAACAGAACATTCTTTACAAGGTTTTTCTTTTCACTTTTCTTTCTTTTTGGGTTTGCTGTAAACTGATATATCTCTTATAGAGTTGTTATAAATGATCTGAAAGGCATAAAATACTGTTTAACAACACTCACTAAATCCCAGAATTGAGAGAGCTATTAAAGAATTACACTCTTGTTTCAATCTATCAAGATTTTTTAGAATGTCAAAGCTGTCTGTAAGCTCTGAACTTTAGAAATGATTTGTGTACTTCCTTTCTAAGAGACAGTGGTAATAATTAAGAGTAAGAAGTAGAAAATTATTCTGTCTTGTTAGAAAATGTTAAATCAGAGGCGGGCAGAAGTGCGCACGCCTTTAATCCCAGCACTCGGGAGGCAGAGCCAGGCAGATCTCTGTGAGTTCGAGGCCAGTCTGGGCTACCAAGTGAGTTCCAGGAAAAGGCACAAAGCTACACAGAGAAACCCTGTCTCGAAAAACCCAAATAAATAAATAAATAAATAAATAAAATAAAATAAAATGTAAATGTTGAATGTGAATCTAAATGCTTTGCAAGATATATTATGTGAGTTTGTAAAAAGGTATAAATGTTAAGTGTTAATCTATTCTTAATGTACCTGGTGAAGAAACCTAAGACACAGAAGAAAGTGTCATAGTAGACTGCAAAGCAGGCAGTCTGAGTGGTTTCAAAAGCCCCGGAAGCCACTATAAAGGTGGACACCAGAACGAGCACAAAGCATCCACAGCTGAGATCCATGGGAACTCAATACAACACAGAGAAATCTGAGCTAACAGCAAAAAACGGTACAGTTTAAAATATTACTGTAACTATAAAGGTCTCTGTCCATGAGAATGAAAGTTGCAAAGACGCTTGTTTGAACTAAAAATGTTAACTGCAAAAAGTTTTTGTTGCAAAATGTCTCTTCATATTTGGAAGTATAAGTCTGATGCCAGAATTTACTTCCTTTGAACTTCTTGAACTTTGAAAAATGAGAAAACTGCAAGGAGATTTTTGTTATGGATTTCTTCATATTTGGAAGACTCATGCCAGAATTTATTGTTTGAATTTGGGGACATAAGAATGAAATGAACAAAAGTGATTTCAGTGCAATGGGACAATTTTGAATTTACTTATAAGTGATGACCTAGGAACTGTTTTCTGGAATTATTTGTGTTAAAAAATGGAACTATTTTAATGAAGAAATGTATTGTTTTTACCTAGACTCAAGATGCAGTTTTGTGTATGCATATATGCTTTATTAACACGTGATTCATGAACTGTTTTATGGAACTGTTTAATGTAAAAATGGAATTAATTATGGAACTGGTTTTATGTTACAAATGGAACTGTTTAAATGAAAAGTTTGAGTTTTCTAACTAGGCTTGAGATTTTGCTTAAAAAATTATAAATAAAAGGGAGAAGTAATATTCCTTAGTTTAATTTAAAAAATTATTTGAGTGGATTAATGTTATGTTTTGTTAGTAAGAAATGCAAATGGGTATACTAACATTACTTTAAAGTGTAAAGAGTTTTATTAAGAAACTGCTTTTTGGATGTTTTGCTAAACGTTTTCAAAGTGTTGATGGTTACATTGAAAATATTGCTTTTCAACATGGGTTTGTAGGAATTGTATAAGTTTGGGTTTTTTTCTAACTAGGTTCAAGATTTTGTTTAAAAAATTATAAAGAAAAGGAGGAGTTATGAGTGAATTAAGGTTGAATATATTTTTGCAGAAATTATGTTTAACCTATTGATATTAATGCACCCTGGTTTTGTGGCATTAAGGAAATATTTAAGTTTGATGTATATACATTAGAAGTTTTTCCTATGTTCTGTTAGCAAGAAAATTCAAATGATTCTATTAAGAGTTAAAGTTGTAAGATTGAGAAAATTGTTAACTATATGTAGCAACATTTGTGTTAATTCAAATGGTTCTGTTAAGAGTTTGCTTTGAGATATAAGATTGAGAGAATTGTAACTATGTATAGTAATATTTATGTTAACCTGTTACTGGTAATGATGAAATATGCCATTCTTTAAGTTTGCAATTGCATTAAGTTTTTGGTTTAAAGATGGCTTAATGCAGCTAAGACTGCTGTAGTCACCTTAGACCTAACCAAAAAGAGAAATGCCATCTTTATTATCCTCTACTCCCATACTGGGAAGTATAACAGCTATGGAGATTGCTGTAAGCCATTAATAATGAGTTATTTTTCATATATTAACAAAGGAGGACCTGTGGGAGCCTGTTTTCAGGTTCCTTGTGGCTTTACTCAGCAGATCTGCATAAAGAGGATAATTAGGACCATGAGCCTAAGTGAAGGTGTCTGAGATGGTCTGCACTTGGCTGTGCTGGGGAGGAGGTCTTTTGCTCCACCCCTTGGGCGCTCTATAAATACTCTGGGGCAGAGCTAGTCAGGGCCAGGTGGAATAGGTTCCAGGCCCTCTCAAGGCTATCCTTTATTTTCTATCTGTTTATCTTCACAATCTAAATCCTTCTATCTAATATTACCTGCTGCTCAAACTCAAAAAAACTCTGGGGAACTGTGAGGTTTGTGGCTAAATGCCCGGCAAACTGGACTTCATGGGCAAGAGGAAACTGACCCTGGTTGTACAATGTGATCAACAAGCATTTTTATCTAGTGGCACTGGAGTGGATGATTTTGTCTCACCCTTTTCAACCTCAGGGAAAAATTTCACCTGCATCTCAGGGCTTGGATCTAAGTTGTTTCAAATTAATGCCCACAGGCAGAAGGCTTCCCCAGGAATCTTTTCTGACTTGTTTCCCTCACAGTATTTTTTTTTTCCATTTCTACTCTGATTCTCCTCCAGGAGTCTGCACTCAGATTCCCATAGTCAGAGAACCAAGGACACAGTTCCTCTATGAACTCCAAAAATCTCCATACTTGTTGTGGTCCCACCTTAAACTCTGTAGTTTTTAAGGTTTCTACAAGTGAATCTTTGAAGATCTGCTTACTGTTTTCCTGCCCCATTTTAGCACTGGGGAAATTCTACTCTTAAGTTTCTTCTTACCCAATATTCCTATACCTAACCCTATATTTTTACTTAATTTTAATAGATAAAAATTAAGAGAGAGAAAGATAAAGAAACTTAGACAGAGATACTCACTGCAACCTAACTTCTCACATTGTCTTTTCTTTCAGCCACTTTACTTTACGTATATACAATTTTACTCCTAAAAATAGAATACCATTGCCTTTATTTTTAATTCATTACCAGGCACTGCCCCCACAACACCCCTTACTCTCCTTTCACCAGGTCCCTAGTCATGTCCCTAATTCTGGTGCCATCTGTAGGAGGCCTGCTCCCACTTTTTCCCAGGGTGCTCTCAAGGAGAAAGGGATAAGAAATATTTAGATAGAAACAGTGTGGAGAAGACAGACAGAAACACAGCACAGCCTTGGAGGAAACTGTATCAATATCCACTGGTCCCTTCTGTCTCTAAAAAAAAGGTTTTTTTTTTGTTTTTTGTTTTTTGTTTTTTTTTTCAGGAATGCCAAGGGACAGGGCACAACCAAGGTCTAGCACAACCAAGTGCAGACCATTGCAAATACCTGGTAACCATACATGTGGTCAAGCCATTCCCTAATGCAGTCTTGCTGAGTAAAGTAAGCTCAAATTTCACAAGGAAATATCAATGGTGCCCCACACTGGAGACAGAGAAGGACAAGGAGGAGGGGACAGAAGTAGTGGCACCAGAGCACACTTAAGAGATTAGGAACTGCCTTAAGGTTTGTTATAGTTCAATAGAGTCAATAAAGCATAAAAAGATCTATACATTATTTGAAGAATTTTTTTTTTAAATAGGGTCTCACTAAATATCCCTGGCTGACCCATAACTTGCTATGTAGATAAAACTGGCTTCAAATTAACAGAGGCTTACCTGCCTCTGTCTCTAAGTGTGCTGGGATTAAAGGTGTGAGCTAACACATCTGATATAGTTACTGAAAAAGAATGTAAACTTTTCAAGATTACTATTGTTAAACTTGAAAATACTTCTCTTTATTTGAAAACAATTAACATGTGAAATGAAGAAAATGCAAGTTTTCTTTATATTAGTACCATATACACATATATGTGTGTGTGTGTGTGTTTGTGTGTGTGTATGTATTATCAATATATGTAATGTTTCCCATAGCATCATGTTGTAGACATTTAACTTGCACTATAAAAGTTTTAAAAGGAAACATTGATGGTTCTTCCAAATAACCCACTTTAATTCTTACTGTAGACTGCATATGTCATTTCAATTGTTTTCAGAATTACTGATTACTTGATGCTATGACAGTTCTGTGTGTCACATAGAAATTAACTGATCTATGATATAAAGTGACTGTCACATTCCAAGACAAGCTAAGTAAGTATTTTCTATATTTGATTTCATGTTTTTAAATTTCAAAGACTTTTTTTTCTGGGTGCCAGTGCATTTTTGTACTTCCCAGTTTCCCTCCTTTAATTATCTTTTATTTATCAGTTCTTTGTATCCATGAGCTGTTCTTGAGCTCAGATATCAACTCTGTAGAACACATAATTTGAAACGCCTGTCCTCATAATGCATACCTTGAGAACCTTGCACATGATCTCACATATGGAGAAAGTTTTCTCTGCTCGTGTCCAATCCCAGGTGGTCACCTTCAAAAGACAAGAAATAACAGTTCATCTGTTCTAGTAACATAGTTCTGCTCCCCTCAGTTTCATTTGAACAATGACACTTTCAGAGATGTGCTTATTTACTCTCATGATCTATGATGGAGTTCATATAAAGTTCCTCTATAACATTTTGGTTTATTTAAAATTTATCACCATTTATCACCCTCTTTTCAGAAAAAAATTGATGCTATCAGAAACAATTTCCATTTTAGAAAACTGTTTCATGTTTAAAATTATTTGTGAGTTCTCTGAATGCAAATATTAGGTATGCAAGTACCAATATGCATTTTCCCTTAGTAAGATGCAGAGAATGACATAAGATAGCAATATGATTTCAATAATTTAAAAATAAGTTATTGATATTTAAAAAATATTCCAAAATTATTAAGATATTGGGAAGATTTCAATACCACTGTGAAGCTAGCTTTCTTACTTATTTTGAAATATTTCATTTCTCCAAGCAGAAGAAATTATTCAGAGTAGGAATATAGCAAGAAATATAAACATTAATTTTTCTGGTATTATGAATTTTGTGTAGGCATAAACACTAAACATAATAATGATTCAGACTTGAGAAGTCCCAGATACTTGATATTATTAAGCCTGTCATTGAGCAGCATGGCACTTTATATTGATAGTCAATAAATATTTATTGGGTGTTACTTCTCTGTAATTTACATGTTTCCAAAGCAAGGCTTTCAAGAAAGCAGATATGCAGACACATTTAGTTTACATAAAATATACAATATAATATATCACAAACATAACATGGTTAAATTTCCAGAAGAACTGCACCTTATGGAAGGCCATATGTTGATTTGTAAGTGAAAGCTTAATGCTGTAGCTAAACTTGAATATCCCCAAAGACTCATGTATTTAATAGTTATCCCTGGTCTATCATATTTTTGAACATGACAGAATATTTAGGAGGTGGGCTATAATTCAAGGAAGTTTAACTCAACAGGAACATGAAATTCCATGGAGTATTTGGAACCCAAATACAACCCAACCCAACTCCTTTTGTTCTCTCTAAATCCTGGTTGCCAAAAGGTAAGTATCTTCCACTGGTTTGTATTCCAACCATGTTGCACAATGCTGCTCTAAGCAATGAAAACAGGGACATGTGGTCAATGATTGAATCTTCTGACACTGTTAGACAAAATAAACCTTTCTATCTTTAGTGATTGATCTATTTGCATAATTTTTATGGTAAGGAATACTAATGTTAAAATTTAACATAAGCCGAACAGTTAACACTGGTAATGTAACACTGTAAATATAGACTAAGTATTCTCAAATGGTCCACAAATCCAAAATGAATAGAACATTCATCAATATATAATAAAATTTTAAATCTCTTACCCTACCTTTCATCATTTATTTTTTCATCAAATTAATTCAATACCCTGACATAATTGTGTGAATATGTATTAAATTATTACATGGATTTTTTAACAATGATATGATTTTATCCATTTGTCAAGTTCTTAAGCAAAAACATCTATTTTCTTCAAGGCTTTACATTTAACAAAATATTTTAAACAGACATTAACTGTTTCTTAAATGTCCTAAACCTCATTTTCAAAATGTAGTAATAAATATCATTCAGGTGATGCCAGTTTGCTATCAGCACATCCAAGACCTCAAATAGTTGGTTGCAAACACTTACTGGAGGTGATGGGAACCTGTAAAGACATGAGCCCCTCAAGGCAAGAAAGACAGGTGTGTACACACGGTCCTGGAGGACTTCCTGCTCCCGTGCTTCACACCAGCCCATGTAGACTATCTGCAAGGAAAGTAAGTGTTGTTAACTGCCAAAGTATAATTTGCATATCATAGTCTATTTGTGTATCTTGTGCTGTTATAACTTCATGTAAAATTATCTAATTGATTAATGCCAAAACCCATTAATCCAGTGTTCCCATGAGTTGTAGATATGAACTACTCAAAATTGTTTGTTACTATGGCATTGCAAAGTGTTGCCTCATGCCAGCTGGCATGAGCTTCTTTCCCACTCACTCCCTCTTTCTTTCTGCTCTTAAATTTTTTTATTTATAATGAACTATTAACTGAACTCTTGTCTTTCCAATTAGTTATACTTATTATAACTGAATATGCTCATAATACAAAACATGTAAATGAGAAATGAATGCCTTTCTGCTATCTATCCACTATAATGAAGCACCATATCCTCTGTCATCACAAGGTAGGATGGATAACATTCTTGTTCTGAGCACTGGCCTCAGGTGATAAAGGATATACCATCATTTTTTAAAAGTTTAAAAGAATTTTTAGATTCATTTTTCACGTATCAAGTTGCAGTGGCTGTTAATAGTTCTGCGTCTTGTTGACTGAGAGAGATCAGTTTCTACAGGAAAGTCATATGCTATGCATTGATACACATGCTCCACCATTTAATTGCTATGAGACTCAAACATAAACAAATGTGTTAAATATTATAGTTTCAAATTTTGATTCTTCCACAGAAATTTAACTGATTCCATATTGGAACTTCTTACTTCTTACAACGTACCTCTTACATCACAAGTTTTACTTTTTGCTTTAATGATTTTTCAGAGACTGATTCCTGAACTTCATTGTTTGCTATAATACCTGCTATGACTAATAAAATATGAAACACACAACAAAGTGCAGCTGGACTTAGTGATCATTACACCCTCCCAAGAAGGAATGGAGAGTAGGAGAACTCTCAGCTCAGCTGTCATGCCAACTTAATTTCTAATACCAAATGAGACAGAGCTCATTGAAGAGGATGAGCTCTTTAAACCCACACCTGGGTTTAATGTGGTTTGTATGCAGTGTACCAAGGTAACAGTTTAAGAGTAACAATACAAGAACCTCCACAACATTTTCCACTTACACACAGGTGACATCTACTTCCCATTGCATTATTTTTACTGTCTAAAATGAACTGGATTGTGCATTATCTTAGTTTATATAATACCCCCCATGTGGCTATAAAGTCTCAGATTTAATAACTTTAGGAATTGTGATTTTTATACTCTCTTAGAGTATTAATGTATGTTTTGAAATTCATACTGTATTTGAACTCTTCACAGACTTTTAAATGGTTAATAAAATCATAAGATATAAGCACAATTTGTTATTTGAATTTATTTTTATATGATCAATTATAATTAATAGAATGATATAAAAAATTGAAAATAATAAAGTTACTTTCATCATAAAAACTTTTAATGATGTAAATATATATTTATGGACACACACATATATATATATTTATATATATATATATATATATAGGTGTCTGTGTATAAATATATACATAGTTAAATTATATATTTTTCCCTGCTTAGTTTTTGCCATCTTGAAACAAGCAACAACCATTCAGGTAGAAGGATCTTCAATTGTGAAAATGCAGCAGCATATTGGCCTGAGGGTAACCTGTAGAGTATTTTCTTAATGATTGTGTGGAAGGGTCTAGCCCAGAATGCATGGTGCCACCATGTGTCAGAGGTTCCTAGATGATATAAGAAAACAAGCTGAAGAAGCCAGGAAGAGCTAACCAGTAAGCAGTGTTCCTGCTTAGATTTTGTGTCAGTTGTTGCCTCCTGATGCACTGAGTTCCTGCCTTGATATTTCTCAGTTATAAAGTGTGACCTGAGAGTTGCCAGCTGAAATAAATCTCTCCCCACGTTGCTTTTAGTCATGGTGTTTTATCACAGCAATAGGAATTCTAACAAAGAGTGAAATTGGTAGGAGAATTATGTGGCATTGCTATGATAAACCTGAATATGTTTAAATAGGACCAAAGAAGAACTTTGGAACTTTGGGCTAGGAAAGCCAATGAAGGTTTAGAGCTTTGTGACTTCTAGTAACTAAAAAGCTAAACTTGAAAACAGTCAGGTAATTGAGTCCTGGCTTGTAAGTTTCAGAGAGAAGTTGGTAAGTTCCTTAAAGAATATAGATTGTTCAGTAATTTGGATTAAACTCTGGTTTTTGTCAGCTGAAGCTGAAGACTTAGCTGTGATTATCAAGAGTCCAGCATCAATAAGGCAAAATTTTCAGGAAAATTCTTCCTCGGGATCAGCATAGAGTATTACCGAGAGGAGGCTAAAGTCAATTCTGACAGCTAAACTTGGTAATGGGTAAGACTTTTCCAGGTAGTACTAGTTTTGAGAGCTTAAAGGAGCCATGGTGAACAATGGAGGCTTGTCATCTGACAGGCCAGAAAAGGACATTAGTGAAGGTGCAGCCAAAGTTGAACTAAAACCCCCAGATTATGGAAAGAAGTTAAGGCTTGGCACCACATAGTAGGGTCAGAATCCTTGAAGAGAAGCTGTGGATGATGGTGCAATTCAGTTGCAGGGGAGAACATAGCATTTGAGAGATGTCAGTACCACTGGATCACTGCAAAGGACAATAGAAGCTGTGGAATAAAGCCACCCAGTGAGACAAGCTGTGTGCTGCAGAGAGCAAGGTTGGAGAAGTGGACAAGCATTGACATTTTTACACCTTTGAATCTTAGTTTTGCTTTGATTTGGGTGTGACCATGGCCTGATTGATGCCTCTTGTAATAAGAAGCTCTGCATTTAGTTTTTATTCCATAGGAACAAAAAGACTTTGGTATTTTAGAGAGACTTCGAAATTTTAGAATTTTAAAGAGGCTTTGGATATAATTTTTGAGGATTTATATATTTCAGACAGGCTTTAAACTTTAAAAGGGACTTTAGATATTTTAAAGAGGTTTTAATGTGTTTAAATTTTTAAAGATTGTGGAACTTTTAGTTTGGAATGTCATATTGAGGTATTAATATTAATATGAGATCTCAGCAATGAACAAGAAAGTAAAGATTATGTGTTAACAGTAATGTGTTTCTGTCAAATTGAGAAAGGGTTGATTTTCCTGATTAGTGTTTTGTCAACTTTACATGAGCTATAGTCATTTGAGAATTTGTAACTGCAATTGAGAAAATGCCCATAACAGATTGACTTTGAGGCACTTTGTTGATTAATGATTGATGTGGAAGTGCCCAGCCCACAGTGGGTGATGCTACCTCTGGGCAGATAGTCCTGTATAATATAAAAAAAAAAAAAAAAAAAAAAAAAACAAAAAAAAAAAAACAAAACTGACTTAGCAAGCTATGGTGAACAGGCCAGTAAATAGCACTACTCTGGGGTTCTGCCTTCAGGTTCCTGCTTTGAACTGCTGCCGTGACATCCTTTAATGACAGGATGTGATATGAAACTTAAAGTGAAAATAAACCCTTTTATCCTTAAACTGCTTTTGATCATGTATTTTATCCCATCAAGAGAAACCCTAACTAAGGCATATACACATGCATGCTAGTTTAGTTATATGACACTAATTCAGTTATAGTAAAAGAAGGGTATGGTCAAGTTCGATGTTTGATATTTTTATATTAAGCAATTCAGCAAAGTCACCAAGCCTAGTTGTTCTAGAAGTCTGGAAAATGTGACTGAACTTAAGGTACCAGGTTTTTAACAAAATATTAGATATGAACAGGGAATACCTAGTCTTATGGACAGTTACATATGAATCAAAACATGAGTTTTCTTTGGCCATAGAGTAGTTATTTTTCACATAAAACACCAGGGCAGAGTCTGGGTATCTTCATTTATCCTCAAAAGTAGAGAGTAAAACATCTCCTTTAGCATCAGTGCTGGGCTAAAAGGCATCAGAGTCATGAGTGTACTGGGTCCAGGCATGAGTTAGAGAGAAGAGGCAGAAAAAGTCAATCTGGAAACAGATTGAGGTGATCCTATATGGTAGTTCTGATGGAAACCTTTTCATGATAGCACCACCATTTGCATACACATTCAGAACAATTTTCCTATGACATCACAAACATAGGTAAAGATATTTTTAAGTGTCTCAAAGTTATATTTATAAATGAGAACAAAAACGGTAGTAGAACCCAATGTTTTAGAAGTTGGTTTAATAAAATCATTCTAGAGTGATGATTAGAGAAATGAAAGTGGGTTAAAAAAATAAAAGGTGTAAGAAAATGGTGGTTTGATGACAAGTGACAGGAGAAAAGCAGATAGGATACACAGAATTGTTCATACATGAAAGGATTCTCAAACATATGAAAAGGGATCAAAACACTCAGAACTATAATTGGATAAACATGTATTATCATAACTCTTCAGAAAACTAGAGATAATACAAAAATATAAAACTTGCCAAAAATACTGAAAAGTTGTTGCTTTTTTTTGTAGCGCTGAAGATGGAAACTAGGGCAAAATACATGCTAGGCAAGCCCTTTAAGAGTGAGCTATAGGCCAGGCAGTGGTGGCAAATGCTTTTAATCCCAGCACTCTGGAGGCAGAGGCAGGTGAATTTCTATGTGTTTTAGAAATAGAAAGGCTTCCCCTGGTAACTTATCTTAAAACTAAGCAACATAATGTAATAGACAAAAGATAAATCACAAATGAAATTGCAAAGTAGGATAATTAAGTATTTCAAATTAAATATAAGAAATTCAACCAATATTGTCCTTAGGATTTAGCATTGTATACATGTGCTTTTGATTAGTCTGAAAATCTATTATGTGTGATATATATTTTCTTTTAGAAGATAAGGTAATAAAAACAGACATAAATGTTACTTAAATAGTAAAAGTTTGTAATAAATATTTTGAAAAAGGAAAAGCGTTGTTTAGAAGCAAATACTCTTGATATTGGTGTTAAGAGCAAAGATATCTTCATCCTAAAAATGTCACAAGCACACTAAAAGAGTGCAAAATGCAATGTTTAAAAAATTAATTTTTAATTTTAAAT